TAGTAATCATAACATTTCAAATGGAACATATTGATATTATTTTCAACTTTTGTCTAATACAAAGATGATTTACGGCTATGTGATATAAGGCTTGTGAGATGTATTTCAAGAAAATGAGAAGAGCATGAGCTTTCTTGCAAGACTTTCTACTCTAAAAGGAAAGATGGTATACGTAAATAAGCAGGTTTAAGTAATTGAAAACTGCCTGAATAATGGCACATTGATTATCATTGATTATATTGGCATCCACTGATGTACTGTACATATGTGTATTATATTTTTTACACAGCATATTCCAAATATTTAAGGTACCCAGCAATTCATACAGTGGAAAAAGCTGTGTGTTATGGGTAGCATTTTCTTGCTAATGTGTCCTTACTGCTCATATATATGTATGTTTATGTATCCTTAGAAAATACTGTACAAAATAAGTTTAGAATCCTTTAACTTTTGTATTGCATTTTTAAAATAATAAAAATTACTGTATTGAAGGTTTTTTAGGGATGATATGGTGACTTTACTTACAATTCCTTACAATTATCCTTTGATGTCTGTTATATAAAATCTGCATATATGAAGAGGTATAAAGCAGAAATAATGTACAATGTCAGTATGTGTAAAACAGCAAAGGTTTTGTGAACTTTATTGCATTTCCATTGGCTTGGTTCATTAGCACACCTGCATAATGATATTTAAAAGTAATTTTCATATTTAAAGTCTCTTACAACAGTATATTATATGAATATTCTCCCACCAGTCCCTTGCCCGTTGTTGCCATGGGTGAGGGACTGTTGCCATGACAGAGACTGAGACCCAATGCCAGGGATCACCCCTACCTAGGACTTCAGCCATTGACCTAACTAATTTTACAGTCTTCTCTTCTTCAACTTCTGTTAATTACTTCCTAAGGTGTAAGAGCCATGTTGAAAGATGAAAGGCTGACTTTGTGCCAGTCATGAATGGCCCAGTGGAGCCATAGGCATGGTATTCCCCTGATTAGTTGTCTAGCCCTTACCCCTCAAAGGGACTCTTGAGGGGAGGACCATTTCTCTCCAACATACTTCAGGCTTACCATGGCCACGAATGAAGAAGGGAAAGAGGGAGAAAAAAAAGACCATTCAAAATTAGTTGAAACGAGGACTGAGGTCCAAGATAGGGGTGCTCTCCTATGTTGGGTCTCAGTCTCTGTCTTGTAAGTGACTCCCCATGACAACAATGAGCAAGGGATTGGAGGGGGTCACTTCTGCAAAGTAAGAAGGCTGTGGAAAGGGACATCTCCCCTATATCTTTTTTTCACTTGGTTGTCTCTTCCAATTTTGGTGCCACAGCAACACTGTATTCCAGCCTAAAAAAAATTACTAGACTGATTATGTATTGATTGCAAAGTGAAGATTTTTTTTGTCATGATATCCTTTAATCATGATATCCCCCCCCAAAAAAGTGAAAAGGGGTCTTGGATATACACTAAATCAGTGGTTTAATTTTTATAAATCAACTTTGTATATTCATTTAGCAAATAGTTACTTTCAAGCTACTGCAATAAAATTATGATATAAAAAAGGGTGCACTTGTAAAGTAAAGGCCTAGAAAAATCATTACCTTTTGACAACTTAATACCTTTTAGGCATAAGTATTCAAGTTTCCATTAACAATTACTGGTTAAAACAAATAGTCATATATAGTAAATTGTTTTGGTGAAAAGGGTAAACAAGTCAGTGATTAGGCTAAAATGTGTTAGATGTCAAAAGGTTGTAGAACACTATAGGATATTATGGTAATGAAAAGAGTAAAGAGGAGAAGCAAATGGTAACAGACAGGGATTTTTAAAAGGAATAAGGGGGTTAAATCACATGGAGAGTATCTATGTGTCTGGAAGGAAGAGGAACAGTGCAAGTCATTATGAAGCAATAAAATGGGTAACAGGTAGAAATGGGTGTCAGGAGGAAGAGGAGGAGGAGGAGAAGAACCCAGGGACAGATGAGGGAGTAGGGGAAAGAGGTGAAGTAACAGGAGGGGAAGGATCTGGAGATGGACACTTATGAAATGGGAGTTGTGAGCATCAAGGTGAGAGCGGAAAGGATAATGAGAACAGAATAGATGAAGAAAGGGATAATGGGCTATGTGGAAACATGAAGAGGGGAAGGATGGATGTTGGCAGTTACTTTGAATGTAGAGGGAATGGAGGTAGAGACTGGACAGTGGATGAGAGAAAGGTGCATCCTCTTGGGTCTAGGAAATTTTAAAGGTCATCAAGAGTTTCTGGAAGATTATGAGTGTAGGAGAGAATGTGGTAGAACATGGGGTGGAGTCAGGCTAAGGAGGAAAAAGCTTGCCATTGGGGTTTGTCAGGGCATGAACTTGGAACTCGGATGTAACTATTTTAAGGTGTGTACAATCAGAATGACTGCAGAAGGAAACTTGGCATACTTGCTTTTGGTGACATTGTTGGAAGAGAGCAAAATTGTCAGAGTAAGGATATGATTATTGGATCTTAAAATTATTTTTAAAATTCTGAGGTTCCCTTAGGACTGACTCTGTTATCAGACATTGAATTCTATAAAATGGAGAGGGAAAAAAAACAATCTTGTGGAATGAACTAAAAACAAATCCTGCGATGTTTATTTAGCCTCTTAATTCAGAAAAATATCACTACTATAAAACATATTACATTTATTTTTATTATATACAAAAAAGGTTTGAGCAGAAAATGAAATTCTATTAATTGAAAACATTTAAGCTTTGTAAATAATTTGTGTGAACAGTGTTCTACTTTTAGCAATTTCAGGCATCAATACATGTACTAAAACTTTTGTTTCTAAGAAGCTATGCTTGTTTTCATCAATTTTCTTTCTCCAAGCTAACTGTCCCTCAATCTTTTCATCATACCTTCTCTTCATGTTTACCAACTGCTTTCCCTATATGTATGAATGGTGTACTTTCCCACTCACCCATTCCTCATCTGGGATCCTTTTCTCTTTCTGCCCAAACTTCCCTCCCTGGCTAATACCTTCCTGCTGTAATTGCTCTTCTATTTTCCTTGATCCACCCAAATCAAACATTCCACCTATTCTCCTCAAACATTTTCTTGCACATATCTCTAGTCACTCCTCTATTACCTCTAGTACCTATGTTTGTACAGACGGCTCCAAATCCATCTTGGGTACTGCTTTTGCCATAGACTTTCCTTCTCCCTTATACAACCTTCCCCTTTTTCCTGAATTAAACATCCTTACAGCAGAACTATATGCTATCCTCTTCCCTTTACATCTCTTCCTCATCCTTCATCATCTTCACTGACTCATGCAACTCAATATCACTCATACAATCCATAGACCCTGTCAACCCTATGGTCCATAAGATACAAGACCAGTCATTTTGTCTACACGACAGAAAGCAGCGTTTCTGCTGGATACCTAGCCATGTCTGGATTCTTGGCAATGAACAGGCAGATGCCTTGGCACAATCTGCCACCTTGTCCACAACTCACCTGTGTTCCACACATTCCAGCCTCTGACTACTACCCCCACTTTAAAACTTCCTCTATAATTGTTGGCAGTCTTTCTGGTCAGGTTTGACCACCAATAAACTTAAAACCATAAAACTTTCCATTTTCCTTTCGTTGACCCCATACCACCAGAACAGACACTGGTAACTGCCCTTGCCTGTGTATGAATAGTTCACACCTGACTCAAGCATTCATACCTCATGTCACACTCAAACCCACCTCCCTGCTCCACATGCAATGCTCCTCTTTCGGTTCCACATATCGTATTATCCTGACCCTGCCTTACTGGAGCCTGTACCCTCGATTTTCCTTACTTGTCCTCTCTTCCCTGACCTCCCCAACCTGTTGAACATCCTCACAGAATCCCCCACCTTTTCAATTAACAGCCTGTTCTCCTTCCTTGGATGAATAAATACCTTCATTTGATCTAATTTATTTGATAATTTAAAACATCTAAGGTCATTAATGGTGCATTCAAAATATAATGATAACTTGAGGCTTAGGGCAAAGTCCCCAGGTAAGGAAGTGCAATATGACATCAAAGGTCATATGGTGCTTTGGTAAAGTATAGTAGTGAAAAGGGCTGGGATTGAATTAATAATTAGAGTAAAGTTAGAGGTTCAGCAGTACTAGAGGGTAGTATGGTAATGAAAAAGGGTTGCGAGGGGAGCTGCTGATGGGGTGGAGTATAAGGTAAAGGTTGTTAGAAGGGGAAGGAGTTAAGGGAGTAGGGCACATTAAGTATTGTGGCGAAAATGGCAAAAATGAGTTTAACGATGTGGGCAGAACACACGGATGGAGAAAAGGAAAAGGAAATGAGGAGAAGAAAAAGACCATCTAATCTTCCTTCGTCCTTAACCCTTCCCCTTCTATCAATCTCTACCTTACCCCAGTTACTCCCACTCTTTCCACTCATTTCACTACTGTACTATCTTGCAATGCCATATAACCATTGAAATCTAAGACAATTTGTTATAATATAGAACTTCCTAAAACCCCTCCCACCACAAAACTTTACCATAGTGCTATATGGCCCTTGATGTCTATCACATTTGTTTAAAACATTAAACATATGTACTAATAACTAGTGTAGGTGTGAACCAAAGGAACCCCATGGTGGTGATATTTGGAATATTTATATAATTGTTATGAAACTTGAGTCAAGTGATCATACCAGTATTTTTTTGATAATTAAAAGAAAAGAAAATATCCATCATTCTAGTTATCTTACAAATGTAGTATTTGTATGGGGTCTTAAAATTGTAATTTATTTTGAAGTTTTTTCTTCTAACCAATAACAGTTCAATAATTAACTATTCTGTGGCAAATGAATTTCACACTAGTAACATATATGTGGCAAAATGTGCAAACAGGTCAGTTTGATGTATATATTAGAAGTATAAATGTCACACACAGTCGCTTAATAATTGAAGTGTGTGCGTGACACGTACCAGAGGTGCCTTCCTTTTCCGAAGTTATATAATAAACACAGGTATTTTATTTTATAAGTTTATTAGGCATCTGTACATAAACTATTATTACACATGTTCAAAGAAAAAAAAAGAAAAAAAAAAAAGAAGTAGTTTACTGTGAAGAACAGATTAGTTAAATTCTATGATGCTACCATCAAAATTTATGTGGCCTATTCTTCATTGTAGAAAATAAAAAGACTTTTAATGAACCGGTTTACATTGTGTGGAAACTTCTTTTCAACTAGAATTATTTACAACGCCATACAAACCCCACTGCATGGATTTCCCCAGTACCAAGGCTTCTTGCATACTCCCACTTTTGCCCAACTGCTGCTGACAATGCAGGTGATGGCCTACGGGAAGTCCTTTCCCTTTTCCATAATCTAGCTTAACCAAACTATTCATAAATATCTTCTTTATCTGCCACGTATCGGATGATATCAGCAGGTCGCAACAGCTTCTCTGCATCACCATCTGGGATTTCAAAACCTGCAAAAGAAATTAACAATTAGGAAAAAATATGCATCATATATATATATATATATATATATATATATATATATATATATATATATATATATATATATAGAGAGAGAGAGAGAGAGAGAGAGAGAGAGAGAGAGAGAGAGAGAGAGTGAGAGAGAGAGAGAGTGAGAGAGTGAGAGAGTGAGAGAGAGAGAGAGAGTGAGAGAGTGAGAGAGTGAGAGAGTGAGAGAGTGAGAGAGTGAGAGAGTGAGTGAGTGAGTGAGTGAGTGAGTGAGTGAGTGAGTGAGTGTGTGTGTGTGTGTGTGTGTTCAAGCTCCTCCAATACAAATATTAGATAACTCAAAATATTGTCCAGATATGACGTAGTTGTTCAACCTCTCCAAAATTTTATGATTATTACTATATGTCATAGCTAAAAATGATCAAAAGTAACAAGCAATGCACTTAGAAAAATGTCTCAAAGGAAAGGTAAGTGAGCATAATAATTATGAATTTGAAGAATTTGCCAACTGGTCCAAAAGAAGGAATATGCACTATAAATAAAATAAAAGTTCTTAACTTCTGGCCTCCAAAGGTCTACAACATATTACTATTTCGCAGTCTTTATAAGCTTTTGTTTTTGCATCAAGATCTATATTTCGAGGGCAACACACATACCAAATTCATCCTCCATGGCCATGATGACTTCTACATGATCCAAGGAATCTAGACCCAGATCTTGCATGAAGTGAGAATCCACGGCGAGCTGGAACAGTGAAATAATTACTAAAACTACTAATAGGAAAAGTGCCATTATGATACTTCAAATCTAATCTTCCTGTATTATATATAGACATTATTTCATCAACCTTATCTAAATAATAACTAAACTGCCAAGGAAACTTTGAAACCATATTATATTATATAATACACAATTCATTCTTCATATCTTTTAGTTATAAAGACAATATCATCTGTAATGAATACACTGCTGTGAAATACCTTGTCAGGGTTGACCTTATCATACAGCTTAAGAACCAGCATGACTCTCTGCTGGATGAGGTCTAAGGTCAGAGGTTCCTTGGCACTGTAGCTGCGGACCCCACTGGTGGCCTGCAATCAGAAGAATTCAAGTTCACAAATGTAACAAATATGCTTTCATGAAAATTCTAAAACTCCAAAAAAGATCACAACAGGAAACTGGTGATAAAGAGGGAAAATTCCAAATAATTTACTTTTAATGAAGTAATTTTAAAACCATCTGTTGTAATACTTTCAAATTTGTTTTTCTTCTTCTTTCCACCTTTATGTTTTCATTGTGATCCTTGGAGTGATAATATAAAAAGACAAATTACCTCCAAATCTCCAGCACAATATAGCTTACATATACCAAGAACTCTCTCTGAAATATCATCCAAGTTGGGCGTCTTGCTATACTGCTTGATGTTTTGTCTAAGAACTGGTTTCTTTAGCAAAGAAAAGGGATGGAAACATGTTATAGAGGAACCATAAAGAAAACTTATTAACAAATAAAGACTAAATTGCAAAAAATCAAAACAATCACCAACAAACTTATACATTAGCCACTATCAAGCCTGTTTAGAAGTTTTTCTTACAAGTTTAAGATTTTACAATGCTTGAGAATCTGAAAATTATAAACCCCTATGGCTCATATGTGTATATTTCCTTCATAAGAAGCACCAGCAACTCTTATACAATACTGTTCACAGACTATAGAAAATATTCCTATTTTGTTAAAAAATAGGGACTGAAAATTAGGTTCAGAAAATGATGAACCATAATTATGTTCCAAAAACAACAATGCATCTATGTTTAACCAATAAAACTATAACACTGATTATAAGCAAGAGAAAATGAAGATGACATGCCTTCCTCCTCCCACTCCCCTGGATCTACCAAACTACATATTGATCCAACCTATCTTAAATGCCATTTGAGCAACTTCACTTTACCTCAGGTAAATAATACTGATATTTGCTTTTCTTACACTTTTCCAAGTCCTTCTCCACTTGAGAACAATATGAAAATATATAAATAAATACATATACAAATAATATGATAAACACATGGGATGGTGAGTAAGCCAGGAATCTGAATTGCTCAGTTATCAGGTCAAAGGTTATACCTAAGAATCTGTGAAAGGAAATTCTTAGTTCAAGATATATATAATACTTGTTCTATAAATGTGCTACACATGTATACTGAAGTATACACATGCAGCACCTTCATCAGCTTCCCTATCTGAATACTTGTCTAATACATTCTAGTGGATCAGTTACGAGTTGATACTGGCATTCAATTTTTCAAAGACTCACAAGACTAGCATGGATAGTACGGTCTTCCCACAAATCTGCAGAAATATATATTCTTCAGTCATTTATTGTACATATAAACAGGCCATGGAGTATAGGTTTAGGAATCCAAAGATATTTTGCATTTATATCATCAAAAAAGGCAAATCCAATTTCCTTATACTACCTTATACATTATGATTCAAGTAGTTTTAAACAGAACACACAAAATGATTAAGAAGAAAGAGTTTTGGAATTCATTTGGGATATCTACAAAATAAAAGTTATAAACTATATAAATCTCTTGATAGAAGTGGTGAAGCAATCACTGTAAACTGCAAACCTCTAATGCTATGGCAAAGGCTCTGACAATAAATTGCTTGGGTAAGGGAAGTTTACAAACCATACTTGTGCTTATGATGATGGGATGAAAAGTTTGGCCCTGTCTTTATATGCTTTTATTTATTTTAGCAATTTTCTAGCAGTAGTCCACTAATTCTGATGTCAATGGATTCCTTACAATGTCTAGGGTGCATTTGTGTTGCTTTTTGTTGGTGCTAGGCAACAACAGCAACAATACAAGACCCAATAGGTGTGGAAGGTATTGGCTACCATCAGGAAAAAGCACAGTTAAATCATGCAGTATTGATATATTTTTAGCATTAACCCCATACCAACGTGCCATGCACTGAGGCGTCATAACAAACTGCTTGATCTGTGGAGTGCGGCTGTACTCCGTGGTGTGGCACAAAAGTGCTACGAGCCAGGGGTTTGGCTTGATGTAGCGAACTCCTGTGCTCAAAGTTGGCTCATTGCCATTAATCTCCAGAGTGTTGAGTTTTTAAAAATCTTCTTAACCTATCAGTAAGAGGTTAATCACACTTGACTGGAAAGCAAAATTTCCAACCCACATACCCAGCAAGACTGAGCTCAGACAGCGACATGACTTTTGAGTGATGTCGTGACCCAGAGGCAGAGGTAAACATTCCTCACCATGCACTCTGTCCTAACTGACACCATCTATTATGGTTAGTTTGAAGAAGTAGACTCATTTTAAAAATTACTTGAATCTATCTATTCTAGCAAGATGGAGCTCTCGGAAATTATGTCAAATAATGAGAGCCTAAGCTGTATCTTTTCAAAATAGATGTGGACAAGGTTATTTATTACTATTATAGTCCTGCCTTTACTGACAAAAATCATGTTATAATGGACTTGGATAGAATACAGTCAACATCATCAAGAGAGAGGAGTCCCTTTTTGAAGTCCACTATTGGTGTCCTGTAAATATTCACCATATCAAACCTTCAAATAGGGTGGCCCTAACCTATTGCTGCCAGGTCACTCGTACAGCCGTCATAACAAACAGTTTGATCTGTCGAGTACGGCTATACATGTGATGATGCGCTAGAGTGTATCGAGCGGGACTCCCACTCCAAAAAGCAGGACTGTTGCCAGAAATTTCTGGAATCAGTGACACCAAGAGATTTCCAATACCGTCATCTGAGGGTTAAGATTAAAAAAAATCATAAAGATAGGAAAAAACTACAATTACTCATACATGAAAGAATATGCACATGAAGATGTTAGAAATCTAGAAAAATAGGTTACATTAAATGCCACAGAAAGACTATGTCCAGCCCAATAAACAATCTACCTGTGTGGTAATCCTGCATACATTGTTTTTACACATGTATGTTATGAAGTCAAAACATTGTCACTCATAAAAATGTATTACTGTTTTCGTGTATTTCTCTATTTCAAATATAGAAAATAAGGCCTTCTGGTGATCAGGAAATGTTTTTGGTTCATAAGGTGATGATTGTGGATTCCTAGGAGTGCCACCAAGCTTGAAGGCTGGAGTAATAGGAAATTAGATTAGACGGATTCATATTTGATAAAATGATAATCATTCAGATTACTACTACAATGAGACTGAAAAAAAACCTCTTATAATGGCCACAAAGATTGGTTAATGTTACCAAGGGTGATGCACAGAGATAAGAGGTAAATAGAAACTGCCATCTCAAGAGCATAAAAATCAGTCATAAATGCCTGTGCAGCTTCTGTGGACTCATGTTTACTGCAAAATGAGGAAAATATCCACTGCATATCACCGCTCAGTGACTAAACCCACAACACCTTCACAAAGCCAAAGTTCTCATTGTCACATTTTCTATGGGAGGGTGCATTAATATATACCAGAATATTTAAAATAACAGCTTCAGATAACAAATATAAGCTGC